TTTTTTGAAAAAAAATCTGCTTAAATGACACATTAGGAATGTCTGAACGCTTTAAGAATATAGTGTATGGAAAACCACTTTGGGGGAGGCAGATGGTGATGGCAGAAAAAAAGTTTTAGAAGGAAACGAAGAAAAAAAGATCAGCAATAAAAGAGGTGTATTGTTGACAGAGCAACAAACGAAATCTCAAATGATATGATAACACTTCTTTTGAAAAAAGGACTGGATTTTGCTCGCTGAAAAGAAAAAAACCATTATTTGCAAATATCAAATATTCTTATATAGATTTTCAGGAATATCAAAACCAATAAAAGTGGAAAAAAATGAGAAAAAAGCGCTTGTACTTACGTATGCAATTGATATACTAAAACGCTAATCACAAAGAAATTCCTAGAAAAGGGGATGGAGAAACGAGCACAGACCAAAGAGGTAGATCTCTTCTGTACCCGGAGATTATATCCAGGGAAATTTCATAAGGCACTATACAAATATTCATATGCTCAAATTGCGATATGTATTCTGAAATTTTGCATAACGTTCCAGCAAAGGTGCTGCTTAATGCAGGACATTATGCATTCTATTAAGAATGAATAATCAACATTCTCATTTGATTCTACGACGTCGGCGGAAGCCCTGTCCATGTCATCATGAAAATTATCCATTATCTACATGACTAATTTCCCAACATTCATTTATGAGCTGATTGGACAAATCTTCCACTCTTGGAAAGAGAAAACGGGATTTTTTGCTTTAAAAGTATCCAGCAGAATATTGCAATGACAGTTTTTTTCCCCAGCGAACATCACCTCAGCCTCGTAAAACCCATAATGAGCGTGTTCGAAATTTCGTGTTTTCATTTCTCTTCCACGATGGCAGGAGAAGAAAATCCATAATAATTTCTCTAGTATGCGTGCTTATGTATGTGTATGATGAGTTTGAAGAGACTGTCTTTAAAGAGTCAGACCGGTTTGAAACACAAATACAATGGTTGCACCATCTCGAACACAACGCAACCAGCAAGAAAAAAAACATCATCAAACCTGCTTTCGAAGCGCAAATTATTAACAGCAGTTTTCGTTATGTTGACATGGAAACAAAACACACACGGTTTCGTTCAGCTGTTTGAATATGAAGGACGTAAAGACACTTTTGGGTAGGGAGGTGTAGGAGGGGGACTGTGAGAGGAGCCTTGCCCATGCCTGTCAATGGGAACAATTCTATGCATCTAGGTTCTGAAGTTAAAGAATATGCGGCTACAGTTAGTCGTCATCATTCAAAGGGTTTCTTGAATAGAATCCAAAAATGTCTTCCTACATCTTTA